CTGGTCCTGGTGCCCTGGGAGGCGGAGGAGGTGCAACTGCATTTCTCGGAGGTGGTGGCGGAGGACCAGAGCCCCGCTAGGAGGCGGCGGGGGTACACTACCGTTGGCCTGTGATGGCGGAGGCACACCAAACCTATGGCTCGGGTCCGAATCTTCAAGTGGTGTCTTGGGCGGCCGGGGAGGTGGCGGAGGTCCAGGCGCAGAGGGGGTAGGTCGCGGAGGATCAGCATGGGCGAACTTGCCAGCATCAGCAATGGGAGGAGGAACAGCGAATCTTGGCCTTGGGGGTGAGTCTCGCGTAGGGGTCGGCTCCTGGTGGCTATCGGTGTCGAGCTTGCCGGATCTTCTTGCTGGAGGGGGAGGCGGGGGTGCCGGTCCTCTCCTAGATGTCGAAGGAGTTACCGACTCGGAGACACTGCGTGGAGGAGCAGCGGGAGGTGGTGGTGGAGGAGCTCTCAATGCGGGACCGCTAGGAGGAGCAGAAGGCGGCGGAGGAGGAGGAGTGCTCGCGTGTGTGCTCTGCTTCGCCTGCTCCTGCTTCAAGAACTCAATGATAAAGTCCTGGTTGTCGCGAATGAAGTCGTCATCAAGGCCTTGGGCCTTTAGGTCGTCACCAAAGTGTTCCCTCCACAAGGGATCGAAAGCGTCCAAGGTCGCAAACTCGGAAGGAGGCTTGTATCCGTTCATCATTCCATTGGTGCTCCCAGCTCTCATACGGCTTGCCGGTGCAGCGGTGCGCGGCGACTCAGGCGGGGTGGCTGTCGGAGACGAGTGCTTATGTCCTCCAAACAGACCTCCAAAAAGACCGTGGTGCTTGTGGTGGTGTGCCTGGGATGCGCCTCCGAAAGGAGTCTTGCTGGTAGCCTTGCTGGCGTTCTTTTCCCTGTCGTTCATCTTCTTGAGGAACTGCTTGGCCTCCTTCTCATCCACGAAGGACAGGCCGGCCAGGCATTCCTCGAGCTCAAAGGTGTGGAAGAAGACGCGGTCCTGGTTGTAGTTCCAAGTGTCGAAGATCTCCTGGTCCCAAATCACCCCCCTGTTTCCGGGCTGTCCGATGTCAGCCAAATCCTGTCTACCCGCGTAATCGTTTTTGTAGCACTTACCGAAATATCAACCATCTTGATCCAATACGTATTGCCCACGAGATCATTTGCTAGGACGACGGCGCCCTGGAGGCCGGTATAGGTCCATTTCGACGGGTTGGGATAGGCTACATAGAGCCTAGCAACGGCGACGGCATGGATCTTGTTGGTCTGCTTGGGCACGCAGCGCTTGACCGTCTCCTTGTCGTCGTCGCTAAGGATGGAGGGCATGGTGAAGAGATATGAGGGGTGGAAGCGCGGAAGTGGTGGGTGGTGGCTTGCTGCCTGGCGTCCCCTTTAGATCGTCCAGGGGGAGCAAAGCATGGAGAGACCGGGAATCGGTATGTGAGGTTCGTCGGTAGAAGGACTCGTTCGGCGGGCACAGCGCCGAGATGTGATGTTCTGAAGCTTGGTCGCCGTTCCTTGATTCGGTCGGCGGAGGGAGTTGACGTCGAGCGAAGGGTGAGGTAGCAGGTGGAAGTGGGATGTCGTATTAAGCTTTTCGGGGATGTTGGCGCTTCTTGTCGAGAGCCGATGTGTCTTGTTGGTATAAGATAAAGCGAAGCTCCGTGCTGCCGTGGCCGTGCCGCGTGTAATGAAGAACACTTGACGGAAGCCTGGAGGGGAGACAATGGAAGTTGCCGGTTAGCTTGTAGGCACGGATGTTTGGTGGTGGGTGGTGGGAGATTCGGGTGTGTCCAATCACTGAAAGGAGCAAAGAGAGAGAGTGGAATATAGGGCGTCAGGCTGAGAATCACGTACCTTGGACAATGATCAAGTAGCTTAGTTATAAGCTTTGGATCTGCCGTGGAGAAGCAATGTATTAAGGCTGTGAAGAGTAACAAGGGCAGAAAACGTTGGTGTATTGCGAGAATAAAGTTGAATTGCGGGTGTACCTGGCCTGGCAAAGAGGTTAGACTTGTTGGAGTTGCATCACCACGGCGGAGCGACAGTCAGCTCTCCAGCGTTGGACTTCCATTGACTTGACTCGAAGCATGGCATCCCCAGCAGGCCATTCAATGACCAATTTCCGAGCGGGAAGCGACCACTTGGACACGGACCAGATAGCGTCGTGATAGCGTGCCAGGGGTGGATTGGGCGTCAATTGGAGTGTCCACTAACAGTGGGGTATCTCTCACATCCCCTCGTGGGAAACCCCTCCACTATCCGCTTGCACAGCCGACCTTCCGCTTCCTCAAAACAAGATGGAACCTCCGAGAACTGTTTGACATGTTGAGTAGAGGGCGACCAACATCTACATACACGGTAGATATGTAATTGACTATCACTTGAAGATGGGATGAAGTACTAATATGGAATGACAAACAAACACCTTTACATGCTCAAGAGTTGCCGTTTAAGACAAGCCTTACAAGACCCTTCCACGGCTTTATGCCCCCCTCATTTGGGCGCAACTATACACAAATCACTTCAGGCCTCAGGGTCCAACAACTCCATCACAGTTTTCAAAACAGTTCAATTATGTATGTTTGTCATTCAGTCGTTAGGTATTCATTCCATCCCTTCCCATGTTTGTCCATTCCCATGCCCATTCATAAGTCCATTCCTTTACTTGTTAAGCTGCTCAGCCTTGGCCCGGCGCTCCTCCTTGGTGCCCTCCTCGCCGCCGATGTTCTGAGAATAGCGGGACCGGGCATGGCCTTTGATGCCTGCTCGAACGTGGCCTTGGCGCCGTCAGCGAGCTTGTTGAGGGGATTGTTGGAGTTCTTCTGTGTGTTTGGTCAAGGGTCAGTATCTGTTCCCGTTCTTCACATAACAAGAGGGGAAGATATAACACACCTGCTCGTCCTTCTGGGTGTCGTGGGGAAGAATGTTGACTTCCTTCTTGCTGAGATCGTCGCCGCCGGCCATTGTGATGGTTTGGATGGTGTTGTTGATTGTGGGGGTCTTGTTCGTTCTTGAAGTGTGGATCACGGAGTTGAAAGTCTTGGTCAACTTTTTCGATATCGTCTTGCAGGATAATGGGTAAGGTGTATGTAGAAGGAGAAGATTGCAACGGTCGAGAAGGGTCTTCTTATATAAAAGAAAGAAGGAGAGAAGAAAAAGAAACCTGTAGTCGTCGTACCACGTACAAGGGCCTAAGAAGAGGGTGTAAGACAATGACGTCGCTGATGGTCACGCGTGTTTATGCGGCAGCAGCGGCAGGCACACCCCATCTGTTTGCTGTTGGCAGCTGCTATAGGCGCACCTTCAGCGCATGCATTGGAAACCTCCCACGAACAGCGCATCAAACAGCAGCATCTCAACTCCCACTTGGAGGGAACCCACTCAGGGACCGCGATTGCCATCCCGAGTACAACACATGATACTTTGACCGGAGTATCATCCTAGCTTTTCTCCATCATGATAATGACACTCGACTGATCGAGAAACACTGCCCCGCATGTCGGCCTCCAGTGCCCCGCAACCCGTGAAGCTCTCACTTCCTCTTGTGCGTCCATACATCACGATCATTGCAGTATTTGTTGTTTTCATCTAGACTAATAACCCCAAACAGGTCTACCAACAGAAACTGTTTGAAGAGCTTCGCAAAGAAGATGAGCTCGTCATTCTTGCTCGAGGCCTCGGCCTTATGCGTCTCATCACCAACCTGCTTCACTCATATGACGCCGCAGGCAACAACCTGATTGTGGTCGTCAACGCGGATGATAGAGAGAATGCTTGGATCGGTGAAGCTCTCGCCGAGCATGCCGCCATCAGCATGTCTCCCAAGGCCAGGGGATTGACAGTGGTCAATACAGACTTCACCAGCGTCGGAAGCAGAGAGAAGATGTACGCTCACGGCGGCATCTTTAGCATCACCTCGCGTATCTTAGTAGTCGACCTGTTGACCAACCTCCTGAACCCCGAGACCATCACAGGCATGATTGTCCTCCATGCGGACCGCATAGTTGCTACCTCCCTAGAGGCCTTCATTCTCAGGATATACCGTCAGAAGAACAAGGTTGGCTTTCTCAAGGCCTTCTCCGATAACCCGGATCCATTCACGATAGGCTTCTCACCGCTGGCTACCATGATGAGAAACATGTTTCTCCGAAAGGCTTCTCTTTGGCCTCGGTTTCATGTCCAGGTGGCCCAGTCACTAGAGGGTAAGAAGAAGGCAGAAGTCATCGAGTTGGAAGTTCCAATGACCGACTCCATGAGGGAGATCCAGACTGCCATCATGGAATGTGTCGAGCTCAGCATCCATGAGCTCAAGAAGGAAAACACCGGGCTGGAAATGGAAGACTGGAACCTGGACAGTGCTCTGACCAGAAACTTTGATCTTATGGTACGGAGACAACTGGAGCCAAACTGGCACAGGGTCAGTTGGAAGACCAAGCAGATTGCTGGCGATCTGACCGTCCTCCGCGGTATGCTTCAGTCCATCCTCGCCCTCGACGCTGTCTCGTTCTTGCAACAACTGGACACCATCCATGCGGCACATAAGCCCGCTCCTGGAACTACCAGGCAGACAGAGTCACCTTGGCTGTTCTCGGATGCGGCCCAGACCATCTTCGAGACTGCAAGACAACGAGTCTACTCTAGCGAACAGAAGGCAGGTCCAAACTCAACCATCGAGTCACTAAAACCCGTGCTGGAAGAACAGCCAAAGTGGGCTGTCCTTGCCGACGTCCTGGAGGAGATCGGTAGAGACCTCTACTTTGAACCCGCTGTTCGCGATGACTCCAACGGCACCATCTTGATTATGTGTGCCGACACCGACACATGTCGCCAACTACGCGATTACTTACAAACAATGCACATCCGACCTCGAACGGCGAAGAAGGTAGAAGAGGTCTATGACCCTGAGGAAGACAAACCATCGGGTGCATTCCTGATGAGGCGAAAGTTACGCAACTATCTCAACTGGAAACGAGAATTCGCCCAAGTCAACAACGTCCTCTTCTCCGAGAATCAAAAAGCCCTCAGCGGCGCCGTCGACCCACGACTTCCCCAGGCTAGAGGCCGAGGAGGAGGAGCGCCGGCCAACAAACGGCGCCGAGTCCGCGGCGGCGGCGGCGTAGGACGTAACCCCAGCCGCCACGAAAACGGGAGTATCGTGCAACACTTTGAAAAGCCCAACGAAGTAGCGGGCCTGATGTCGGAAATCCAAATCACCGAAGATGACGCAGGCGGCCAAGCCGCCGAAGAACTCATCACCTTCACCACCACCACAGCCGCCGACCCGCTTGAGGACATGGACGACTACTACCAGCTCTACGACATGCAAGACCTGGTGGTCATCCACGCCTACGAAGGTGACCAAGACGAGCACGTCCTGGAAGAAGTCAAACCCAAATACATCATCATGTACGAGCCCGATGCCTCCTTCATCCGTCGCGTCGAAGTTTACCGGTCCTCGCACAACGACCGCAACGTGCGCGTCTATTTCCTGTACTACGGCGGCTCCGTCGAAGAGCAACGGTATCTTTCTTCCGTTCGCCGCGAAAAGGACGCTTTCACAAAGTTAATCAAAGAGCGCGCCTCAATGTCCATCGTCATGACGACCGATTCTAGTGGAGTCGAAGACGACCCCGAATCTGCTTTTCTACGCACAATCAACACCCGCATCGCAGGCGGCGGCAAGCTCACCACCAAAGCCACGGCGCAACCCCCTCGCGTGGTCGTCGACGTGCGCGAGTTCCGCTCTTCTTTGCCTTCCCTACTCCATGCTAGATCAATGGTCATAGTCCCCTGCATGTTAACTGTAGGCGACTACATTTTATCTCCCAACATCTGTGTCGAGCGCAAATCCGTGTCCGATCTCATTTCCTCTTTCAAAGATGGCCGCTTATATGCTCAATGCGAGACTATGTTCCAGCATTACCGCAACCCGATGCTTCTAATCGAATTCGACCAGAATAAATCTTTTACGCTCGAACCCTTTGCCGATCTATCAGGCAGTCTAAGGAGTGTCAACCCTGAAAACGCAGGCGCCAACGATCTGCAATCCAAAACGTGCTACTTACACTAGCCTTCCCCAAGTTACGCATAATCTGGTCTTCATCCCCCTACGAAACCGCCGAGATTTTTGAACGGCTAAAGACGCTAGAAGAGGAACCTGATCCCATCGCTGCTGTCCGAGCCGGGCTTGGAGAGGGCGAGAGTCCGGAGGATGGAGTCAACGAGGGCAAGGGATCGGTCAATGGGGGTGCATTCAACATGGAAGCGCAAGAAATGCTGGGGAAAGTGCCTGGTGTGACGCCGAAGAATATTAGGAATATCATGGCCGAGGCAGAGAGTGTGAGGGAGGTTGCGAATATGGGGGTTGAGGAGCTGGGAAGGCTGGTGGGGAGGGAGGCGGCCGGGAAGATTGTTGATTTCTTTAAGAAGGATGTGTTGGAGGATTATAGTGGATAGATGATGATGGTTCTAAGTAGAGTTGGTTTGTTGGTGTTGAGGTGTTTGAAAGATGGGTCTTGACATGTTTGAAAGTCGAATTAAGGCTGTATGTAGGGTAGAATGATGATGTAGCTGAGTCCTCAACAACCAGATCTTGACAAATATAATAGAGACGATGTTGCGCAAAAAGGGTATTACATTGTTAATGATCTGACAACGGAATCCAGCAACTCTATCAGGTCTTTCACATGTCACAAGTAAAGCCAGAGAATAGTAAAATCAGAAATGATGCTGAATATCCGATACATTCCTAACACTACCAATCTCATTCCTTCAAGACAATGTGAATTGAATGCAGTACATAAAGTGAAGGGGGTATAGGGTATCTCTTCGTCAACTCATGCTATCGTTCGTATCGTATCGTATAACCTCCTCTGCTTCTCCCTTCTCTCTGAACTCATTATCGAATTATGCTTGCTTGATCGCCCCCACCTGTAAAAACAGATTCACAGAAAACAGAAAACAAAGGGAACCATTAAAGTGCAGCGCATGCTCGTCGACTCGACTGGGTATCATCTTCCTCCTCCCTCTACATCCTCCTCTCTTCATCCCCCCTTTCTGCCTTATCCTTCTCTCCCACCCATCCCCTCCCCGTCTACCGACGGCTCAGGTTCAGGTCCGAGTCAAGAGAGAAATTAGATAGCAGCAGTAGTCCGCCCATGCCTCCTCCGTCCCATACCACCGCTCTTCCTCCTCATGCGACCGCGACGGCTGCCACAGTAGTTGCACGTCAAAAAGCCGACGATCACGTCGATGACCCCGATGACGCCGTTGATGATGGCCATGAGGATCGCGCCGATGCCGTGCACGACGCCCATGATGGCGCGGCCGATGGTGCGGAAGACGGATTGGATCTGTTGGCGACTATGTTAGTATGGTTGCGACTGGAGGGGGGCAATGGGGAAAGGATGGGGGGGTGGAAGGTGGAGGTTGTTGGGGTCAGATGGGCAAAGATGGGGAATACGTACGCAAGATACGACGGCGCCCATTCTGAATTCTTTGTGTGGTTTACTTGGGTGTTCTTAGGTAGGTATGTTTGTGTGTAGGTTTGTATTGTGTTGTTGTTGCTGAGATGCTTCGTAGATGATCGAAGTCTTTGCTTTGTATGACGGTGTGTTGATTTGATGATGGGAATACAGAAAGGATGAATCACCGTTTGAGAAGAGGGAAGGGAAGGTGTGATATATATGTGCAATTATTCGTCTGGTCTGGTTTGGGTTGGTCTTGCAACAAGGCATCCAGTCATTCACTCGGTCATTCAAGTCATTTGCACACATTCGTCACTTCTTTCCCTCCTCCCTTTGGAACAGGATTCTTCGTTCATTCCATTGGCTTGTCCATTCACTTCATTCGGTTCTTTCAGCGCAGCCCACTTTGGTACCTACCAGCTACTGTGTACCGTCACCTACCCGCTCGCCTATGCAAGGTAATATGTGTGTCCAATCTGGTGTAAAAGTGCCTGTGACGTCACAGGGCGGCTGGCTGTAAGGGCCTGTTAGGTACTGGTCGGTACCTCTTGTCTATTGCTTCTTTTTTTTTTTCGACGTCGGCTCGGCACCTGCCATTCAAACATCAAGTCTTGGCTTTCCACATTCCAACGACCAACGACTAACGACCAACGACGACACAATCTACCTAGCACCGGAACATAGCCCGAATCTAGCCTTGTGTGCTTTGCGTTGACCTTCTCTCTCGCCAAACCAAAAGTTCTTTTGCCGAGAAACCCAGACACACGCAGAACAGACACACGCGGGTTGATGTCGTCGTTAGTCGTTAGCCGTTTGACCTTGGAGGATTGGACCAGCTCTTTCGAGAAGTTGATCGACGCTTTTTCTGTCCCTGGATCCTTGTGCATGGCCGACCTTCGGACGCACAGACCTAACCAACCACAGAGCTGGATTGAGGGTTTCCAAAGTGTGGTTAATCTTGGTTGAGTAATTTCCTTACACATAACACCAAATTCGTCACGGCACTCGTTCTTGGGGCCGTCACGCGACGATGTGGCGATACCACTTTCGAGACAGTGAGGATCATCATGGCTGGTGTCTCCGGGTAAGTGTACGTGGCTGAGCAGCCTGGCAGCCACTGAGGACACTGCTTGCTTGCGAGGAGAAAGTGAGGACAAGTGGCTGGTTACGTAGTGGCTTGACGTCTTCCTCCCTCCGGAGAACCTGATAGCCATCGTCGGGTAGAGTTCCTTAGAGTGCCTGAAGGCGAAACTCGGCAATGTCCTCCGACGCGGCACTCATCATTCATCGCTGATTGCTGTGGCTTTCCATCTCACCCTTTTTCGTCGGATAGCCTCGCCTCGTATCCTGTCACACCTGAAACGTCTGCATCTTGGATTCCTTGGCACACTAGTCAGCCGTCGAAGGAAAAAATGTCATCCCGCGTGGTCGTGAAAGAAAAGGGTCGCTGCTGCCAAAGATGTCAAAAGTGGATTTCCCCTACCTTGACGTCATAGGCTGTCCCCACTGCGGGCATACTTGCATGAGCGCCGGAGCGGGCTGCACATGGCTTGTGGATCCCGCGCTTGGCAGAAAAGACCCTGACCTCACACTTCTTCCCGACTTCCTTTCGTCGTAGCATCCAGTTGACGTTCGTCTTTTCTTAGAGTAAAAGAAGAAATGCCCTGATTATCTCCCGAAGACCGGCATATCTAGCTATACATAGTGTACAGCACTATGATTATCTCCAACACGAATTCAATAAGCGTAACCCAAGATCCAAACGGTAGGACGACAGACCACTTCGAAGCGGACATCAACTCCCAGGGCACGAACGACTCCACGAAATATCCCAAGAACCAAGATGTGATGGAGAAAGGCATGGGCCTCGTAGAAGCTGTGGATTCAGTCCGGAGGACCCTGAATTCTGGAAGACAAAGCCGAGACCTTCCATCATCCCGCATAGCCAAGAGTGCTTATTCCAGGAACAAACAGGGTTTAAACTGGAGAACATCTCGGCCTTCGCTGGAGACGTTGGGCCTTAAGGGCGGAGTTTCTTTTTTTCGTGCCTGCCTTTGTCATTTCTTCTTTTTCCTTGTTGATGTTTGGCACGCGAAGACATGGGTAGGTAGCCATGTGATGTCAATCTTATGTGTTCACGTCGTTTATCCAGGGTCTTCTGGTCGGAACTATTGATATGTGAAACTGACACCATCCGTCGTGAGAGTCTGGATACAGGTCTCGAGCAGAAATCAGGGTCCAGTTCCAATTCCAATTCCGGTCCCACGAGCTCAGGTTCCGCTTCGGTTCCGTAGATTCTGAATCACATCATACTGCCAACGTTATTCTTGGCTGCGGAAGCCACCGCGAAAGAGTATCATCTTATGAATTAGATATTATCCCACCACTATTTGCTCTTCATCCGTTGGACGCCTATTCCGAACCAGCGCAAAATCTACGGTATATACCGGACCGTTAACCCGTTGTCCGTTGTTCCACGGAACCGCTTCCCGCCTAAGATATGATAACCAAATATAGCATCACCAACGTAAACCCTTCTCCCCCTCCTCACGTCAACCCCTTGACTAGACTCAGCTATTCCTCAAAATCCCCACCACCCCACCCACCTTCCTCCCCAGTCCCATGCCATACCCAACCTCCACCACGCCCCTCGCAAACCTCCAGCTCCTTTCCTGGTCCGGAACAGGATACTGCATCGGCCTAGGAATCGCCGTCCTGACACCCATCCAGTAAAACCTATCCTCACACACAGCCTTGATATTACACAGACCCCTAAGCCCCTCCTCGCCCGCAAACCTTCCATACCCCGACCCGCCCATGCCTCCAAAAGGGAGCTGGACAGCATATGTACACCCAAAGTCGTTGACGGCCACCATACCCGCTTTCAGGCCCCTGACTACTTGTTGCAGCGTAGAATCCCATTCCGAGCCGAACACGGAGCTGCCGAGCCCAAAGTTGGGGATGTTGGCTACGGCGAGGATGTCCTCTGCCGAAGAAGAGGCGGCGCGCATGACTGTCATGATGGGACCGAAGCATTCCTCTTGGGCGATGGCCATTTCGGGCGTGACGTTCACGAGCAGAGTAGGGACGAAGTAATGACCGCTGGGGTATTCAGGGTGGGCGTAGCGTTTGCCGCCGGCAAGAAGTCTAGCTCCCTGCTTGACGGCGTCGGCGACGAGGTTCTCGAGACGGGCAAAGGCGTTATCGGAGATCATGGCGCCCACGTCGGCTGTGGGGCCCAGACGGAGCGCGCGAACGCGCGGGGTGAGCATGGAGATGAGGGTGTCGTAGTGTTGCGGGGCGACGACGATGCGCTCGATGCCGATGCAGTTCTGCCCGGAGGCTTGGAAGGTGCCGCGCATAAAGGTGTTGACGATGCGAGGGAGGTCGGACTTGGGAGCGGAGGCGAGCACAATGGAGGCATCTTTGCCGCCGAGCTCAGCGAGGACGGGGATCAGGGCCTTGGAGGCTGATTCGGCGACTTTCTTAGCGACGGGCTGCGAGCCGATGAAGGTGATGTGGCTGATCTTGGGGTGGGAGGTGATATGGTTGGCGGTTTGGGGCCAGCAGACAACGGTTTCTGTTTTTTTTAAAAAAAATTTGGTTAGCACGTTGGTCTTGTCTGTCAAGGCAAGTTGTAAAAGCCAAAGCCCAAAAAAAAAAAAAAAAAAAAAAAACAGGGGATACGTACGAACAAGCGCAGGGTTATGACCATGCGCAACCAACGCGCCCCTGATCACACTCGTAAACCACTGCGAACTCCAAGCCGTCTGCTCCGACACCTTAACAACAATGCCGTTGCCCGCAAACAGCGCGCTGATCACCGGTCCGATCAAGTTGTGGAACGGGTAGTTCCAGCTCACCAGCGCAGCAACCACGCCCAACGGCTCGTAGTGTACAGTGTTCCGCTTATACGCCATCAACAAGTTCGTAGGCCTCGACTCCGGGCGCAGCGCCTTCTCGCCGTGCTTGAGAGTCCACTGCAGCTTCTCCGCCGTAACCAGAATCTCGCCGAGCTGGGCATCCACCATGGTCTTGCCGCTGTCGAGACAAGCCACCTTGCAGATCTCCTCCTGGTTATCGAGGACGTATTGGAGCAGAGAGCGAAGCACAGCGCGGCGCTGGCGGAATGTGGTCTTGGCCCATTCAGCCTGGGCGGCGTGGGCTTGGTCGATGGCGCGGTCGATGCCCTCGGGGGTGGAAGGATTGACGAAGCCGAGGAACTGGCCGGTAGCGGGGGCGTAGCATTGGATCGCAGAGGTGCCGGACACTTTGATCGAGGGGTTCTCAAGGATCTCCTCCTCCTTAGGGAAGTTGGCGGGAGGAATCGTGTAGCGGATCGGACGGTCTTCGCGGGGACTGGCGATGTACCAGACGGCCAACGCGGCGAGGGCGGACCAGACGAGTGCCCATGATGATTCGGGGAGGTAGCCTCCTACTCTGTTTTGCTCAGCTTGTCAGTCAGTAAAAGTCTCGATCATAGCCTAGAAAAGTAGAAGCAAAGGCAGAGTGTCTGCAACTGCACGTACGGTGTATCCTCCAAAGCGGTTCGGAGCTGCACGAGCAGACTCCTGGGTATCTCCGCCGTCATTCTTATGCGCTGATTGAGCTGTTAGAGGCCAACGACAGACCACTGAAGCTCTTGACAGCAGGACTATCCCTCAACCGACAAGTCTTGCAACCTAGACTTGTACGCAGGAAGTTGTCGAGGAGGGAGCTCGAGAGTCGCAAGATAAAATAAACCTCCAGGGGCAGCTCACATTCAAGCTCGCACTACCGCTAACAAACATTGCCTGCCGCCGGCGCACCATATATGGAGCATATTTGCACTTGAACCAATCAGGGGCGCTGAACAACTCAGGAACACGTGGGCCTGAAGCACAGGTTGAGTGCGAACCAAGTGCGAGCCGCAAGGGTTCCCGTCTCCCCGACCGACCCCTTTTCTCGCCGTCAATATATCTGACAGAGCGAGTAGGTAAACAATCGTGGGTCGAAGCTGTGCTCAGTCGAATATATTCCAGTACGATAGAAGGTAGATCATGGGAAAATATGATCTTTGGCTACCTACGGCATGATATGCTTTTGTGCAAGAGGTTCAACAAAATCTTCGATGAAATGCATACCTAGCTAGGTATGAATCTATCAATCTGAGACGTGTGAATCGATGCCTTCACACAACACCGAACTACCCAATTTAGGCATCCTTTTCCGCTGGCAAAACAAAGCTTACTACATAGTGTTGAACCCAAAAAGACAATAAATAAGTTAGGTGATGATAAAGGGCGCGTGGGGTATATATGAATAATTAAAAATATACACTTTTTTGCCTTTTTTGCGGATTGTAAGTTGTAGTTTGTACTTCACTTTTGCTTGCTTGCTCTTCTGATCTTTTGATGGCACCCGTCTCTTCCTCGTCTTCCCTTTCCTTTCCTATCCCTTCCCTTCATCTCCTCCAAGCTCTGGCGTCTCTTCTCGCTGGCTTGCATGCTTGCCTCCTCCTCCTGCTGCACCTCCCTCCCCTTATCCTTCCATTCGACGACTCCTCTAATAGTAGTGGTGTAGTATGTACCAAGAAAACAAAAAAAAAGCAGCCGTAAACCAAAAAAAAAAAACCCCTAGATTTGGTTGATCAACGGCAGCCGGGAAAAGAAACAAAAGTAGCAGTACATACTATCGCAGCAGCAGGTATAAGAACGCAGCAGGCAGGCAACAGCAGCCTTCCCAAAAACAAGACAGAAAATGTATGTGAAAACCCTCCCCACATTCCTCCCCAAGGCAGTGTGAACTCTTTTCACACAGCATGCAGCTCCAACAACATCACCAACCCAGCCAAAAAGTCATGTATGTGGGGCCATGAAATCATGTCCTTCCCTTCCCTATCCTCCCATTCCCTTCCTTCGCACTCATCTCAACTTCGTGGCCATGCATGCACTTCGTTCCTTTATACTGTATCACTCTTCGACAATTCACACTTTCTCCCTCTTAACGTCATTGCTGACTTTCCCGTCTCTCGTCCCTCTCATCTACATTCTCTGCCCCAGGGTGCGGAACATCATCGTCACTCTTCTTGCTAAACACCGACAACCCTCTCTTACGCACTGTCGTCAGATTAAATCTCCTTTGCGCCCCGGGCGTCGGTAGATTCTGCGCCGAATGTGTTGACTCGATTCGACTTAGCCTGGCAGCTGATGTAAAGTCGTTAGATTGCTCCAGACTCTGCCTGATGCGGCTACGATCAAGGTCCATTGACCGGCGCAAGCGATCGTATGAAGGCCTGGCGCGGTCGATGGACGGGCGTCCACCACCCAGTGGTGGCTCATCCTCGAGCTGGTTAGTGTCAAGCGAGTGCCGCGTGTAGTTAGTCCCGTCACTGCCGTTCTGAGCGCGCGTGTTGTGCGTAGTGACGGATGGCGGATAGATAGGCCGGCGATCCTCGTCGACACTGGCGTAATGCGTGTGCTTGGAATGCTTGGACGACTTGGACTTGGCACGGCGGCTGGAAGACTCGGAGGACCCGGAGGAGGTGCCTTTAAGCGCATCGTCATCGGCGGGAGCAACCACGGGTGCTTCGATGGCTTTGTATTCGCCAGTGGAGATGCGCTCGCGGATGATGTCGACGTCGTACGGGAACATCTGCTTCTGGATGCACTTGGTGACAAGGCGGGGCATCAAGCAGATGGTGGGGGTGACGATGAAAGCCATCCAGAAGGTGAACTCGGAGTAGACCTGGGGAGCGGCCTGGTAGAACTGGCCCGAGTAGCTGGTGGCCGTGTAGATGCCGGTCCAGAAGAAGATGAAGATGTCACTGAGGAAGACAACCAGGAGCATCACCCAATCCCATCTGTACGTGTTCATCAGGATGTACATGTTGATGGTCAAGACGGCAGGGTGGGCGATGTAGCAGCCCAGCCTTGTCCTTTCCTGGACGTCGAGACCATTTCCAGAGGCGGCAGCGGTGAGGATACAGAAGATGAACGGGATGAAGAAACTCATCACAGATTGGTAGATACCATCAGCCATGTAAGCCCTGCGAGTTTGTTAGTGACGCCTCCAACCATACTATAGGTGCAAATTACGTACCAGAACTTGGTCTGTGTCCACTCAAGCCGTTCGATACCGCGACGATAAAGTTGAGGAACGGCCAGGGACACAGTGTCGCTCACATCCTGATCCAAGACACCCATGAGGATGACCGGGATGGACGTGAAGAACAGGTTAAACATGAGAATGTAGGTATAGTCGAAAATGTACGAGATGTCGAAGTCGCAGAAGATCTGGAACCAGAAGATGGCCCATGTCCACACCATGTTCTTGTAGAAGAAGTTGCTAATTGTCTCTGCCAAGCGACGATAGGACCAGCGACCGTGGACGAGCACCAAGCGTGTCAGGAATCTGAACTGGCCGATGGCATAGTCAGAAGACATGACAGCCTGGCGACCTTCCTCACCAGCAATACCGACACCGACATCAGCCTCCTGAATCATGGCAACATCGTTGGCACCATCACCGATAGACAGGGTCATGACGTCCAAGCCGTTCTTGACCATGGAGACGACAGCAGCCTTTTGAGCGGGACTGACACGGCAGCAGAGCACGGATTTGCACTGCTTGCACAACAACAGGAACTTCTGCTTGAGCGTGTCATTGAGAACCCAGCGAAGGGTGAATCCGTCAATGACGAGACCGTGAGTAGGCGCTGGCGGTTCGTGGTCCTTCTTGGCCCGCTTGAGCTCTTCGTCGCTGCCGGTCATGTTGAACTTGGCCAAGCCCCTGTCGAGTTCTTCTTCGGCAAGGCGCAGATACTCAGCTGCCTGTTGGACACCAGCCTCGTCCTCGTTAACCTGCAGGCGAACAAGATCCATGTCGTTGTTGAGGAGATTGCAAGAGAAACCAATGTTGATAGCGGTCTCGACCTTGTCACCGGTAAGAACCCAGAGCTTGATGCCGGCGTTGCCGAGGAGCTCAATGGCATCGGGCACACCATCCTGGAGACGATCCTCAATAGCGGTACCTCCGAGCAAAGTGAGATCCTGTTCGATCTTGTCGGCAATTTCCTCGAGCTTCTCTTCGCGGTTCTCCAGGGCAGTAGCTGCAATGTCGTGCTCCTTCTTCCACTCGTAGTATTCCTGCTCGGTCAGCTCCTTCTCCGCAATACAGAGAGTACGGAGACCTTCGACAGCAAACATTTCGAGGTGTTCAGCGGTTTCTTTGCGCAGTTCCTTTTGCTCGCCGCGCTTCAGACGGGAGTAGATGATACTGTCGGCGCCCTTGCAGAAGAGAATGATTCTGCCGTCAGGCATCCTGACGATCGCGCTCATTCTCTTTCTGCTGGAGTTGAATTCGATGATGTTGAGAACGGGGTAGTGCACGTCCTTGCCCATGACGTTGACATCAACACCTCCATCGGACATACCGAGGACGGTGAAGCCCATGTCACGGGCGGTAGCAACCAGAGCGGCTTCATCCGGAGATTGCGCCTTGAAGATTATTTTGGGAGAATCACCAGGCTGCTTCTCCGCAACGACGGTGTGGCAGAGAGCAAGGGCCAACATGAAGTGCTGGTTGGCCTTTGCCTGCTCAGGGCCGTTCTTACCAGCAAGATCCTCAACAAAGTCAGGAGCAACAAATGTAAGGTCTTCATCGTGGAGATAGGGGTTGTTGTGGATCTCGCGGAGTCCCGCGAGGGCGCGTACCTTGGCCTGCTCGATCTCGGCCTTGATTGTGGCAATTTCAGACTCAATGTCCACTCCACCATTCCGCTTGCTCATTCCAATCTGCGCTTCGGTATAGGCTTCTCCGTAGGGCTGTCCATTGATTGTGGCTTTCTTGAATTCCATCACGTTCTGCGTTAGGGTACCGGTCTTGTCGGAGAAAATGTACTCAATCTGACCAACATCATCGGAGATGTTCCAGGACTTGGGGATACAAGGCGCATCGATCGGCTCGTAATACATGTGGATATCGCTGTAGATGAAGTAGGCCTGCAGCGTCCGCACGATTTCGAGCGAGATGTAGAGTGAGATGGGCACCAAGTTCTGGAAGACAATAACTGCAGCCCAAAAGGTGATAAATCCCGTAAGACCCGCGGTCCCGCCAATAGAGCCCCATTCGAACCAGTAAGAAGAAGCATCGGTCTTTCCCCAAGCGACACCGTTGGCGATGGCCGCGATAAGACACATGATCAGAAGAATGCAGAAGTTGTAGACGACGTTAACGTTGAGCTCACGGGCAATGCGAGCCCGCTTGCTGGGAGTAACTCCTGCATTCATCATGATCTTGGTATCGTGACCGGTAAAGACGACGACGCCGAGAGCCCATTCGGTGTTCCTAAGATTGCAGCCACGAAGAAGCATGTTGTCGATGCCAATGGGCTCCGACATTTCCATCGGGTCGCCATCCTCGTCGTTGGGGAGTTCCTGGAGCCACTTGACCGCACCGTTGTACTTGTACAGATTGGGCTGAGGAGGCTCGCTCTCGATGATGAACTGCGCACGTTCACAATCACGGGCATGCTTGATTCCACGGCCGCAGCGGAGAGCAGAGCGGACCTTGAGGTTGGTTTCACCGTCCAAGTTCTTGGTCTCAACGTAG